TAATTATCTCTTTATATTTCAAGCTGACTGACAATTTCAGACTTATTGTAAGGGTATTATTATCACACTGAATTGTCTGCGGATTTTTCTGTTATTTGCCGAGGATGTACAGGCGGTCGATGGGGGATGCTCAATCCTCCGGGGCACTTGATCCCACCTCTTATATGTATAAGAGGTCTGAGTGTACTCTGCTCCTGATCTGTATTGTTTGAATGGAACTTCGAGCTTAAATATTGATATTTGTCTCCATATGATTGTAAAAGACGATAATGGTAATCTAATAACCAATCTATCCTCAATTTCCCTTACTAATGCAGCAATATACCTTCATCACCAGCATACGGCGTTTAAATATCTCAGTTGATTCGATACGCAAGAACATGATCTACATATGCACATTTTCTAAAATGAGGTAAATTATTGATAAACAAGTTGATGAAACAAGAATATCAGCAGGATTGTTATAATCATCATTTCGTAAGTACTTTGGTCCATACAATGACCTTGGCAGCAATTTATCATCGAGTCAAATGCTGACTGACATACTTTAGAAATGACTCTAATTCTTGGCCAAATTATTCGATGATAACCTGGTTTGGGTCAGTTTACGCTTTATAATCCGCAAAGCGGATTATAAAAAAGCGTAAACTGACCCAAACCATGTTATCATCGAATAATTTGGCCAAGAATTAGACTCATTCCTTATAATTTAATTTTTAAATAATTGAACAACTGTGGGTGTAAAATTGTGGTGCTTTTTATGAGTTCAAATTTGCCGCTCAATAATACATCCCTAGTAACGGAAGTGATTTGAAACAAGGGGACGTAATAACTGATACACAGATCTAGCAGCCATGATGTTTGTTTACATGAGGTAAGATCGAGCTACTGTTTGAAGTTAAAGGCACATTTATTAAATCTGGATTTTTTATGAATCCCATGGACTGGAAATGAGAGGATTGCATGGATACAGATGATTCAGCTGGTTGTCAAGAGGGTGTGTCCCCATACCAAACCAGGTTATTAAGAAATGGTTTGCGTTCCTTTTTGGAAATCAAAAATTAAGAGTCTAGAATATATACAAAATTAAATTATTAATTGTTAGTTCATTATTTACACACTTAATTGACGACGGATTTTTCAGTTATTTCCCGATCATGACAAGGAGCACACGACGGATGTGACCGGTCGGTAGGGGATGCTCACTCCTCCACTGAACCTGATCCTACCTCTGATGTTTTGGATGTCCGTGTTTGCTTTGCTCCTATTTTGTATTGTTTTATGGACTTTGATATTGAATACTGTTCCTTATCTACTTATCCTTCATGATTGATTCGGGACATTTAAAACTCATTTACATGCATGTAACAATGCCTAAAAATATATTTATGAAGTTTGAAATCATACGCACAAATTCAATCTGCCAGCAATCTTTTTATCGTTTTCTCCAACATTCGGAAAGAAAAAACTATCTATATCCACATGAGACCCATGCGCTACATAGCTGATTGAATGAAATTTGCCCCGCTGTCATTTAACATATTTTCCATCTTTGTTCTAATAAAAAAAAAAACCGTATTGCCGCTCCAACCTTGGCTAAATTGGTTACGGTAAAGCCAAAGAACTATATGCGGTATATTGGATATGTTTGCCCCCACAGAAGTCAAATTTTGAAAACTTCCTGAAATGTGCTGAATTCAATAAATTGTACGAGAAATATAAGTTAACAGAAAATATTATAGTTCCAGAGCAGTGTATTCACAATTTCTGTTTTTATGACGTCACAAATTAGTCCAATTTTATATCCTTTTTCAGAAAGAGGACAAAATGGACAAAATTTCAACAATTTAAGCTTTAAAATTTATAGAGCGCATGTGTGTTCAGGAACAATATTGACATATTTCATTGATATTATCATTCTACACATTATATCAAAATATTTATCCTGAACACACATGCGCTCGGTGACTTTTATTTAAAATATCGACGAAATATGTACATTTTTCTGCAAAATTCATAAAAAACTGAAATTTACGTCATATTTGTGACGTCATTACGTACATATGACGTCATTACTTATGAAATTATTCAGTGCTTTGAAGTCAGCATATACTCCCCTGTTTAAGGACTTAATTAAATATTACTCCATCAAAGTTTGATTTTGGGGGGCAAATGTTGGTTAATACCGCATATAGTTCTTTAAATTCATATGAATTGAATAATTCATGATTAATATGACTAAATAACCGCTTGAGAATAAATTAATTTTTTTAAGTCTTCCAAATGATATTGAAAAGTAACTCAAACAACTCATAAAATGGCATTTTTTTAAAAAAAAAAAAAAATGTTTATTTTATACTTCCATTTAAAGATTTGCACCCTTCCAACCACCCAATGTGACCCCACCCTACCAAAAGAGGATTTGTTTTGAAGAACTTGACTATATACTAACTTAGGATTCTTAGCAAACCTATTTTTATATTCATATGATGCAGACTTTGTCCAAAATAGTGAAAAGAAAACACTTGCTGTGGCCTTCAACTCGACATTCAGATATATCGACGATTATTTGTCAATTAAAAATGGTAACTTCTATTCTTATGTCGATACGATATATCCCAGTGAGCTTGAGATACCACAGAGCCTGACACATCTGTTTCATATTTGGATATTTTACTTGACAAAGACGTTAATGGTAATCCAACAACCAAGCTCTATGATACTCGTAAACTTGATGACTTTAACTTTACAATCGTCATCTTTCCTTACTTATGCAGCAATGTACCTTCATCACCTGCATACGGAATTTATGTATCTCAGTTGATTCGATACGCAAGTGCATGATCAAATTCTAAAACGAGGTAAATTATTGAAAAACAAGTTGATGAAACAAGAATATCAGCAGTTACTTTAAAAGTCATAATTTCGTAAATTCTATGGTCGATATAATGACCTTGGCAGCAAATACAATTTATCATCGAGTCAAGTGCTGACGGAAGTTTTTCATACTAATTGTTAGTCCATTATTTATACACTGAATTGACGACGGATTTTTCAGTTATTTCCCGATCATGACAAGGAGCACACGGCGGGTGTGACCGGTCAGCAAGGGATGCTAACTCCTTCATGGCACCTGATCCTACCTCTGATGTTTTGGAGGTCCGTGTTTGCGTTACTCCTATTTCGTATTTTGACTTTTTGTCTTGAATACAACAAGGGGAGTTGACGACTGAAAAATATGTCATAACTTTTATCATAACAATCAGTTCTTTGATTACAATTAACATTTTCTCCTATAGTAAAATGACGAAATGTTAAATAGGTGTGACAAACTTTGTGGTACCTTTTATTTAAGGCTCATTGTGAAATATGTCTACCTAAGAATAGAAATAACTGTTGTAAATTGATAATGCGTCGTTGATGAAATATATGGAGATTATAAACATAATTCAAGCTCAAAAGTCCATTACACAATACGAAATTGAAGCAGAGCACACACGGACCTCCAAAAAATCAGAGATGGGATCAGGTGACATGGAGGAGTTAGCTTCCTCTGTAGATCAGTCACACCCGTGTACTGCTTGTCATGATCGTAAAATAACGGAAAATCCGTCGAAAAATTTAAATGATAAGTTAGTTTTTTTTTCTATTTTAAAGATTTTGAATAAATTTTGCTTCAAAGGAATACAATAATATGTCTACTTATGAATGGACGCTAAATTGTTACCCATGGGAATTCCAACAGATTGGTGGAAAACCTGATCTCAAAAAAAGAAGAAAAAAAAGAAGATAATTTTAATGAGAGGATCAACCATTTTTTTAATAACAACTACTGAGTACTTAAGTGTACAATCAGAATGTTTTTAACAAAAATAATTTTACAAGTGTTATACAAAAGGAGATATTGTGTATAAAAGGATAAAAGGGTTTTGTGAGGACGATGCACATGGCTATGCTAACGTCATAAAAAGCCCAATCATTCTACATCCCTACAACATTTACTTGAAAGATAAATTTGATCTATTGTGGCCAAGCTAACATCTTGAATCCATGATTTTAACAAAAGACAATCTACAATTTTCTATACGCTTATATTTCTGTCTAAGTGGTTCTTTAAAAGAAAAATATTTAGGGGGGCAACTTTTCATATGAACAAAGTTGAGCTTCCTTTACCCTGGGGTATTTTGTTTTGCACTTTTGGATGAAATTGACACTGAATTTGGAGACCAATTAATTCGATATATACGACTTCAATGTATAGACGACTCACGACAGCACGGAAATCCTTCGATTAGAAAAACTCCTTTCGTGTTTTGCTCAGATGAGCCAAACAAAGGAATGAGATAAACCTCATGAGTTAATTCAAACTATTGAAGAAATAACAAAGGGGGTTAAATACTTGACATGTACTTAACAATGATGATTTTTTTTCTTTCAGTACAAACATGAATCGAGTGAATTAACCTCATATTATGGGATTGAAACAAAATGACCAATGAAAATGTCAGGCGAGTTCTCAGGAAAATAAATGGAGAGAAGGCAACGATAATTTTCCAACAGGACAAAAATTGTATACATCAAACCTTAATCAACAAATTTTCTTCCTGTACTCTTTTTTTCTCAAGTTCTTTTTTTTGGCTTGTGTGTGATAAGATCTCATCTTCATCAGTAAAGTTCAGTACTCTCTAGTTAAAAATAGAAAAAAAAATATGTAGTTCATTATCAATATAACTTAAGTATTTTGAAAACCTTCCCTGTACAATGCTTGTCCTCCCAGCTTTATAGCATGAGCTAGGTAAACTGTATAAAGTCTTTTACGCAAAATTTCATTAGTTCTCTTGCACACTTGATTATATATAATAGAAACATCGAAACAGTTGGTATTATCATCGAATGTTACATAATTATGCAATGATGTTGAATATAAAATATAAAGTAGATCCCTTAAAAGGAGATGCACGATCAAGGTTTGTCTTATACGCTAGCATTTGTGACCTCTTTAAGTAGATATGACACATAGGATGTTACATCAACGATGAAATGGTTCTATATAAAAACCTTTTCCGAGTCCTTATAAGTTTAATGTTTTAACTACCCGGCAAGATGGAAAACGTTTTATTTGTTTTGTACATGGTATTGTATTATTTTTATTCTGATGAATCCAATCTAATTTCAATTTAAAGTGGCAGTGTATGCCTTTTTGTATTTAAACATACTACTATAACTAAAAAACTAAAACTTTCAATATGGATAATAAATTTTATAACTTTCTATTCAAAAAAGAAACTTTGAACAGACAAACGCTTTATCCTTACATGAATTTTATCCATGCCAGAAAATGAAGTTTTGATATTATTTCAAAGAATGTTTTTAGATGAAATGTGGCGTGTATCTCCATACTTTCCAATCATATTTACTGAAATTCAATCTTAATGTACACGTCTACGTCCTAGGTTGTTCTCCTCGTCCTCAGTTGTCAGGGACAACTGGACAAGAAACCTCCCCCCGAGGACCTCACAATGGACCAGATCATGTCCAGGCTGTTAGGGGGAACACGTAAGTTTCATACTGAAAGAAATAAACAAAGAAAATGCTTGGTAAAAATAACCTCAAACAAATAACATGTACAAAGAAGGATAATCCTGATTTATTATTGTTCTAGCTTGATATTGATTATACTCATACTCCCGCACTCACAATACAAACTCTGTTTCTATCTTGCTATTCAAGCGTCATTACAGATCAGATTCATAGTCAAGAGCGTGATGTCTAGTTTGTAATCAAAATAAATGATATTCCTTTTTTATTAAACAAAGGATTTTATGCTTATAAGCAAAGCATTTTGTAAATGCTTTACAATATGTCTTAGTTTTCGATGAAAGGAAATAAAACTCCATCGAAAGAATGGTGTATCCGACCAAGTCGAGAATCATTTCTGTCTTTAATTTGTTTTATTTCGCTATCACCTTCATAGTTGTTTACTTTACCAATTTATTCAATACTCAAAAGCATGCAACGAGTGTGATTATTAAGAAGGAAGCAGACTACTGATAGATAATTTAACAATGGAATGCAACGTGATCCAACCAATACAGAGGGTTCTAGGCGGGTAAAACTGGTCTACAGGGCTTACTTTCTTCTTCTGGACACTTAATCCTATCTATAAAATTTCCAGAGGACAATGTTCTACCCTGGGTTTTTTTTTAAATAAATAGAAGTGATTGATTACTGTTCATTATCCTAATATTTTACATATAGAAATACCTGTCAAACTGTCAAACCAGCTCTAGGTAACTCATATGGAATTTACTTTTTAATTTCAGAAATGGCAGCGAGTATAAGTCTACCGGGAAGCTTAATTCTACAAGAATTAGACATGTACTTATCAATGGATCAGTACAAGGCTATAAATCCCAATAGGTCAGTAATTAAACATAATTTAATGACGGTTTTCTTGTCTGTTCAGGTGTCACATATGCTGCGTTTTGCTTTTGTTTAAACAGTAGGAAGAGTTACTTCTTTTTCGATTAATACGTATATGCAGATCAATTACGGAGTTATTCTTGGTCCATATAAATATACTAATGTATAGGCAAAATAAGAAGCATTTGCTTATGCAGTTAGTATTTATTTTAAACTTTTAATATGTACTTAAAAAGAAAGAAAGAGTAAATGAGCAGATATGTTGATTTTAGGAAGAGAAAGCGCAGAAAGGCAGTGAGAAATCCTGTTTCATACTGGGATGGAGGTATCATGCCATACAGATTCGCGCCCGGAGCTTATGGTGAGAAAAGGAATTACAGAATATAATGGAATATTTATTTAGACATTTTCTTAAGTAAACATACCTTTGGCTGAAAAATAATTGTAAAATTGTAAGCAACAAATTTTGAAAACATATTTGGACATTCCATCAGTCAATTATTTATTTACTAAATTTCTAAAAAAAAAAAAAAAAAAATAAAAATAAAAAATCAGTTTTGATTATTATTTTTTATTTTTTATTTATTTATTTATTTATTTATTTATTTATTTATTTATTTATTTATTTATTTATTTTTTTTGTAGAGCCGGTTGATCAGTATTATGTTAAGGTTGCAATGAGGGAGTTAGAAAAATACACTTGCCTTCGGTTTAAAGAAAGGACTACTGAACTCAATTACGTGGAACTAATTGATTCCCAAGGGTGAATTGGCATACGAAATACTATTATTAAAAGATATCATGCCTTTTTTTTATTTTATGTATATTCAAATTAAAAAAATGAAAAATTATTATGCCAATATACTGGATTTTTAAGAAATGAACCCTGGCAATTCAAGCAAAATTATCCATATTCTGACTAATACCTTAACGGATGATTTTTTTCAATTTACAGATGCTGGTCTCGTCTTGGTAAAGAAGGGGGCAGACAGGAATTAAGTTTAGATAGGAATGGCTGTCGATTTGTAAGTTGAACCTGTGAATTGTTTTTTATCATCATTCGTTTACTTCTTATAGGCATTTTGATTTTAAAGAAGCTATTAAAAGGGTTTGTTGTCTTCAATCATGATGACTATAAACAAAACAAAAAACCAAAAGAAAGACATTTTTATGTTAGAACAGTTTTCACCAATGTACAGGATCGAAGAATTCCAACGTTTTTAAAATAACTATGACGTCTAAAATTATTGATCAATCCTCCAAAGATGCGATGAAACTCCTCTTTTTAAAAGACACAACATTCTAAACTAAATAAAAAAAAACAAAGATTTTTTTTTGGATTTTTTGTACGTATTAAGGAGAAAGGGAAAAAGGTTGTAGTGTATTTTATTTAAAGAAGCCCTATATATACTTTTACGGATCCGAGTATAATTATTTAAGGAAACACTGTCTAGTTTTGAGAGTATGCCAGGGCATCAACAATAGTGGGAAACATGGGATAATTTGCATAACGGGCGAAGCCCGTTATGCTTAAATTATCCCATATGTTTCCCACTATTGTTGATGTCCCTGGCATACTCTCAAAACTAGACAATGATTCCTTATATTTCCATTTCATTGTGAAATAAAATTGTAGATTTAGACATTAAGAATGTAGACTAATCGATTTAAATTACACGAGGACTTCCATGCCAATTTCAATAGTCCTCGCACACTGACGTCAAACACAAAGGCAGTCGCACGAGATTTACATGCATATTTGGCCTCCTTAGCGTCAGACACAGAGACAGATGTACACGAGATTTGCATGCGTATTAGGCCTCCTTACCTGCTGACCTATCAACCTGCCTAATTTACATTCCGGCAGAATTATCAGGAAATCAACTCCGCTTACCTTCAAAGGGTTATTATAGAGAAAAAATTTAGAAATGGAAATATTCATGTATCATCTCTTATAAAACTTGTCCCTTTTCTATGGAAATGATTTTCTTAAATGACGTTTGAACTATAAAATAAATTTGCAATTTCAGAAAGGTTTGTACCTACATGAAATTGGACATGCAGTTGGCCTTATTCATGAGCAAAATCGACCGGACCGTGACGAGTTTATAAGAATCATCGAACGGAACATCCAGGCAGGCCTTTCAAGTCAATTTCAGAAGTACCAGAGTTCATTTATCAACACCTACAATGTACCATACGACTTCCCATCCGTCATGCACTACGGTGTAACGGTAGGCAATCTGTAAAATCAATGATTACACTATATAAATAGTGTATTATGGCATCATTCAGTATATTGCGAAATTTGTGAATTTCTGAAATAATAAATACGATAAATAAATGTACGTGTAAATTAAAAAAAAATGCTTTAAAGGCAGAGATTTTCAGCACCGCCTTCAAAAATACCTGGTCTGGATAGTCCTGTCAATCAAGTGCATGAAGGTCCATCATTGGATGCTGGAACTTGATTGACTAGTCCCTGTGTATACCCTGTACACCTTGTTTGGCGCTTGTGGCGACCTTCAATAAACTTTTGATCCTTTGATGTTTACCGAACATGGTGTAGAGAAACTGTATTGCTATGAAATTTTTTAGCTTGATAATACATGAATTAATAAACCTTGAAGTATTTGAAAGGATATTATGATATGGTATATACATTTAAAGAAATAAATTAAAATTTGGTACATAAAAACGTTTTTTGATCGAATGAAATTTCGATATAATTTTAATATTCTAAACGGTAAACCTAAACTGGAAATGTTATTGCAGCACAAGTACATATAGTGTGTGAAATAATTAAATTTAAAAATATTTATAAATGTTTCTAATCATGGGTCACTTATATTTTCATTTGTTATTCAGTTAAGAATTTAAACAATCTTTTTTAGCATGTTTCATGGTGACAAAACCTTATTAAGATCAGGATAAACCTAGATTTTTTTAATGAAATGCAGTTATTACAGCTCTCATTCATTTAATAGATGGGATCCTGGTGATGAATGAATGAAATCTTATTTGGTTGTTACTGGAGTTTTACTTTAATTAACACATACGCTAACATCTAAAATAATCTTTCTTTTGATATTTGAATATATAGTATAATAATATCATAATATTTTTTTAAATGGGTAGGGGTGTTTTCAAACATTCAAAACTAAATCAATATATATTATTGAGAGAAAAAAATTTACCTACAACTTTTTACTTCTAATTTAAATTGTCTCAAAATCTCCAACACAGGTAAAGTTTGACATCTGGGTATTTCATTGTGTATTAAATCACTTCCTTTGTATAGGGATTAGGAGACAGATGACCACAAGTAGACTGCTAGCCATCAGGGCATTCACACCTGTACAAAATAATCCCCTCCCTCACCTGCAATTTACCACGGGGTAAAAAATCTCTGCCTTTAATTGAATTCTGAAATTCATGATTTTCAATTTAATTACTCAAACTTCTGGTCCACCGTGCCCTTTGACTATATATATATGACTGTATATTAAAGCATTTAAAGTGATGTTCATTCTAATCTTTTATTTCTCGTGGAAACGTACCATACCCCTTACAATTTCTTATTTGAATATTGCATAGATATAAATAACATGTTGTATATAAGTACTTCTACCAGAAAGCATTAATTGCATCAGAAATAATAAACAAACTGAATATATCAATACGAGTATATTAAATAAAGAAGAAAAATACCCTCAAATCATTAAATTTGCATCCCTCTATCACCAACTGTATACATGTATATACAAAGGAGAGATAGATTTTCAAAGGGACGTTTCACAAATAAACAAACAAAAAACAAAAGAGTTATCAAAATGACATATTACTTATTTTCATCTAGAACGTGTATACATGTGTATATGCCTTGCATACAGATAATTAAAAAAAGAGAAATCGCGGAATAGTAAGCCGACAAAATGTAGAGTTGATGACGAATATGTTATATCTATTAATTATTTTGTGGTATAATTATCCTTTGTAGGCTTTCAGCAGAGATGGTAAAAGTCAAACAATAGCTGCACAACCAGCATATAAGGACAGAGAATCAGAAATAGGAAAAGTTTTTCAGAAGGAGCTTTCATTTGGTGATGTACACGTTTTGAACGAGATGTACAGCTGCAGTGAGTCTTATCTCTTGATTGATAAAAGCGAATGCATCCAAACTGTTTGCATTAGTGATAGTTTGTTTGAGTAGATTTTTTAAAAGGTAAAATTATATTGATATTTTATAGTGATTTAGATGAAATGTGAAGTCACACATTTTTTGCAACTTACAAAAGATTTAATATTCATAATTATGATTTTGTTTCTTTTAAGATGATCACTGCGACAGCAGCAGTATTACATGTGATGATGGCGGCTTTTTAGACCAGAACTGTGAGTGCATCTGTCCGGATGGGTCCTCGGATTGCCAGAGAGGAAAAACAAGGCTCAATCCCGGTAACTCCAGTTGTCAAACTTAAAAATTATTTTCTGTACAAATATTTTGAGTTTTTCAAATATTTTTTTAAACTCCCATTCTAATTGAACTTTATATTTGTATAAACATTTGCTTTTACAGTGGTTAGGATGGGAAAAGCTTCATTTATTAGTTTTACATAATCCATTTATCCATTAATGGCATTACAGAGTGCAGAAATTCAGCAAATGACTGGAAATGTAACATTTGGGCAAAACAAGGGGAATGCAGAAGGCGACCTGAGTGGATGAATGGTAACTGTGCTCGTGCGTGTGGAGCGTGTGGAAATGTACAAAATGTCAGACAAGGTACACGTATGAACTTTAATAAGGATAATTTTTTGTACATGTATTTACGAGGGCTGTTCAATAAATAATATCCTGAACTGTATGACATACAATACAGATATCATATGACATTAAGCTTGCCCTTTTCGCAGTATTGAATCTTTAATGAATTTATAACAATTTATGTGACAACTTTTCATCACATAGTTTCATTGTGAGAAGCTGGAAAACAAGGGGAGACACTGCATGTAAAATGAATGTTAAAGAATTAGTAAACTAGAGTGAAATTAAACGTTTCATTCAAGCTGCTGTAAAACTCGTTAAGAATCCCAAAGAAATATTCACTGAAATATGTAACATTTACGGCAACCAATGTCTGTTTTATAGACAAAAGAGCAGGTGGATTTAAACGATAAAAAACTATATAATGAGCATCAAAAATGGGTACCGTCCTTGCCAACAAAAATTATAACAACTTCTGTACTGTTTGCCAATTTTCAACAAGTAATCACTGATGATGTATGATTGACTTTAAGACACATAGAAAATTTGATAGACATGCATCATTTCGGGAATTGTTCACACTTTTTAAAGAAACGTTTGACAGTAAAAAAGCTTAGTACTCAAAGGTCACCGTATGTTTTGAAAAATGAGTGAAAACGACAGCGTGTAAGAATATCTAAACAATTATTTTAAAAAATGAAAAAATTGTAGTTACTGTAAACGTGGTTATATTGAAGAGTTGAAAAATTGACGATTTTTTTTTTACGAAAATTGACGAGAGTTAATTTTGACGAAATATTTAATCAAAAGTTATGTATCTTTGAATTCACGGGGATAAAAAGGCAGCGTCAGAGTCACCAAAATTTATTTTTTGTATAGATTGTACGAACTATCTAAGTATCTAAGATTTGATTAGATAAATTGCCCTCTTGTAATTTGTTATAAGCAGTCAATTGCCTGAGGTGACAACTACGTCAAAGGCGGCGTGATAATTCGCTAGGTTATGCAGTATTTGATACACTAGTTTAGAATCAATGGTTTTAAACAATGTGATTATATATCATTGTGTTTTCATAACTAATTACAATGGAAATTAACAATAACTTTGATCTAGTTTTAATGTACGCGTAGGGGAAACCCGAGAAAATTAAGCAGTAATGTTGTACAATGGTCAAAGTCTGTTGTGATGCTAGTTATGATATGAAATTTGATGAGTGTAAATTTTGACGAGAATAGAAAAATCGTCTATATAGCCAAAATTAGCACATCGTCAAAATTTCCACGTTTACAGTATTCAAGTTTGTTTGAAATTCAAACAGATAATGAAACTTGAATCTATTGCTTAAAACCCTCGAATCAAAATTTACAATAAGATGTACTTGACAAAAACAGCAAAGGTTGAGAAGAGCAAAGAATTGCAAGAGCACAAAGACAGTTTTATATGCAATTTTCTTAAATATTAGTGGTCTTGTTGTTAAAATTCGCATTCCGGGAGGCAGTTTGATTTCTGGAAGAGTCTAGAAAGCAAATATTTTGCAAAAAAAATCGAAAGGTTAATGAGAAGAAGGAACCAGAATCAGGAATCCACTACATTAAATTTCTTCATGACAGCGTCCAAACCCGCACGCCATGAAGAGTAAAGGAGTTTTTGTGATAAACAGAAAGTGAATTTTTTTTCACACTAACAATATTCGCTAGATCTTTCGCCTTTTGACTTGTTTCATTTTCCAAACTTGAAAAAAAAAAACACCTTTCAGATCGAAGAAACTAGTCCAGGAAATCATAAGATCTGCCATTTTCCAGTATACTAAGGGTCATACCCAAAAATGAGTTCTAAAAACTATCAGAAGTTGGAAAAAAATTTCATCGACATAGCTTTTAATTGAAAGAGAATAATAAGTTAAATTATTAAGACAAAATCATTGAAAAGCGTGTTTTGCTTCTTTCTGAGCACTGAGGACAGTATTTATTGAACAACCCTCGTAGCTGTACAACATTACGTCCTCTTTCAAAACATTAAAACATTGCTTATCTTCACTGCTGTTACAGCCTCGAAACAGTCGAATTCACAGTATATACCACAGAGACTTGTTTCTCTCTCTCTCTCTCTCTCTTGAAACTAATCCTTAATTTTCTTTCAGATCTAGAGAACGTTTGTCGCAATTACTATGACGACGAGACTTGTAACAAATGGCGGGATAATGGCGACTGTGTAGTGGCAGAGGATTGGATGAGACAGAATTGTAAAAAGTCGTGTTCCTATTGTGACAAGTCCAACCCTAGACCAAACAGTAAGCTATTCAGTGACTCAGTTTACTTCTGCAAGTACAAAAATCTGTATTTGTGATGATGTCACCTAGTAAAATGTTCAACTATCTTATATGTCAATTGCAAATTGAAGCAAAATACATAATGTGTGTATTCATTCTGTAGCTAATTGCATAAACGCTTATTCCAACGACGCTAAATGCAGAGAGTGGGCCTTGGCAGGCGAATGCGCCATTAATCCCGCCTGGATGCCTATTAATTGTGCAAGTGATTGTCACGCATGTAAAAACAATGGAAGCCTACCAGACGAAGGGACGCGGACTACACGTGGACCAATTCAGACAAGACCACCTACCGTTACCACGCCCCCACCAACGACCCCCAATCCTAGTAAGTCGTGCAGTTTTAGTTTAACTGAATTACAATAAAATCGTATATTTTCATGGGGTTTGAGGGAAACAAATGGTTTGTGGGAATTTGATCTCGAGGGTTGAAATTTTTTTTATTAGTAATGCATATGAAATTTAACATTTCGTTGTGGTAATAAATTCAAGGGGCTCTTCAGATCTAGAAACAATGAAATTTAAACCACACGAAAATAAGTGAATGCACATTATTACATCAAATCACAACCCCAAATTTTAGTAAATCATATAGTTTTATTTCATTTCACTGAATTATTAATATTATGAGAAGTGCAACTTTTCATAAAGTATTTCAAAACTTGGCTTATGATTGTCACTTTGAAAAAAATTTTGACAATATTCACGTTATTTTCAGATTCCTGTGAAGATAGGTATCCGACAGCAAACTGTCAGAACTTCGAAAATCAGTGGAACTTTTGTAGCATTCATAGAGTCTGGATGGAAGCGAATTGTATGAAAACCTGTGGACTTTGCACTGGTGGTGAAAAAGAAAAAGGTACATGTATCTTATAAATTATTTTGAAGGGCATCTCAAATTAAAAACATTATCTTAAAGAAAATTGTGATAGCTTCTAAAGTTTTAAATTATACAGCGTCATATTAAACAACTTTTACACAAAACCCGTCATTCTAAGAATAATATATAAACATTGCATGTTTGAAAGAACATATTTTTCATAATATTTCATTGTATTTTTCATTGTCTATCTTACATGCAAATTTTGATGGTGATATTTGTACTGTTGATATTAATATTATAAGAAGATATCTCTATTTCATGATACATGCAAGCATATACATCATACATGCACATAGTTCTGAAAATTGCATAATTGTTCCCCGAATAAACTACCTTATTTAGAAATCTTACAATTAAAACTAGGTCTAATTGTTTTCTTTATTTTCTTTAAAAACTTTGACGATTTAGATTATAAAGCTTTAAATCCAAACTGTCAAATTTACGAAAGCAAAATAATTACAAAAAAAAAAACAACAACAACAACCAAAAAAAGAACCGCATAAAGGCGTAGAAGCCCTATAAAAATGTCAATAAATAAATGATTAAATATCATTTTGTTCGGAATTGTCCTATTTCAAACAACTAAAATAATACACAATTGCTACTTCTTTTCAAATAATTTTATTTAAGAGGTTCCTGGTTCAATTAATCGTATGATTATTACATTGTTTATGGTGGAAATTTGATAGAAAGAGAACATTTGACTGATGTGATAACTTCAGTTAGAAAGGTTTGCGACTTTGCAGTAAGGACTAAAAAACTTATTGGATATAAAAATTAAAATGAAGATAATCCATGTTCTTTTTGCAGAAATGGAGAACTGCAAAGACGAAAATCCAACTTGTCCTGCCTGGGCGAACGATAACCAATGTGTTGTAAACCCTGGATACATGCTCAAGTATTGTATGAAGTCGTGTCGTGTGTGTACTGCGGGTAAGCAAGAAAATAAAGTGTCTGAAACAAACTAGTTGTATTTTGAATTGGAAGATACAACTTATCTTTTTCCTGACCTTTTTCATACTATTTGTGAAGGCATTATTTTTATTCTTAAATGACTTAGGAATACTCTGTCTAACTGATCAATATATAAGAATTAAGAAAATGTAACCGGTCAACAGGGGATGCTTATTCCCCCTTGATACAGATTTTATGTGTGCCAGAGGTCCGTGTTTCGCCTGTACATGATTCATGAGTTAACGGGATTTATAACCATTCAACTTTTACACTGTATTAATGAATTTACATTACTGCTTTTTATATGTGTTTTAACACATTACTTAATTCATTCTAAAAGAATTTACGCAACGGAAAAGCTTCTTTGATAATTGATGTCGTTTGTTTGAATGAAATAAAAAACATCTGGCCTAACCTTTCGAAGTGCATATTAATTAAAGGTCATACGCAACGGAGTTAGAACTTTTCTGTCTATTTCCATGGAGCTGAAGAGTTCTAATTCTTGAAGGAACTGTGTGTTACATTTTAATTTCTATGGTATTGTACACTTATTCAAAAACAATTTTGGATAAAAGAAACATCTAGAATATATGTTTAGTATTTTTTATGTATTTTTCTTTGAATCATCCCAAAATTTTCATCAATTTTTATCTTTCAAAAACCCCTGGTTATGCATGCTGATTTTTTGTCTATGAACATCTGATGACACTATAATCTTTAAATTAAGAATATCTTGAAAAATTATCAGTGGGTAAGGTACGTTACGTATGTCCTTAAATTGAGATAAAGAATCCCATATTTGCAAGTGCGCCTATTATGCAATCCAAAACATGCATTAATGCCCAAAATCAAAAGATTTATTGAGAAATAAAGCTAAGGATGCCCACTACGTACTTATATATTTTTATATACTTTTCAGGACTTCGAGAAGGTGCTGCCGACCTCGTGGAACAGTTCAGTGAGGGTAATGACAGGAGTTCAGCTTACAGTGTGTCAGCAAAATTTACAGTTAATCAGCTATCCGTTCTATTGAGTATGTTCGCTGTAGTTTTCTTTCTTTGAAGGCTACATAGTTACGTAGAGTGTTGTTAATATTAATTGAAGATTAGAGGGTAACAGAAATGTACTACGTTAAAATAGCATTGTGATGCTAAAAATATATAATAATGTGTCATTAGAGCTAGACTTAGAGAGAGAGTTATCAAATATTATCAAAATTACGTATTAATCGTGATTTCAAAACATCCCTTCTTAAGATTTGTTGATTTATAATATATACAAATATTCATTTATTAATATATGTACTGTACTATGTACTGTATATATTGTATAAATCATGTTGTCAAAACACGACTTTTCAGATTTTTGTGTGCCATATCTTATGTATTTTTTGTTGTTTTTGTTTGTATGTTTTGGTTGAAGACCAATTTATTGTTGTTTTTTTTATAAATAAGTATATTTTATATTTGTAATTTTTTTGTTAAACTTTCTATCAAATGATGTTCATATGCTGACAGATATCACAAGATCTAATTTTATTAAAATAACATAAATGAACTTTTTTTATAATTATTTAAAAAGTGTTAATAATTCAGTTGTCATTAATGGCTGATTGCTTTTGTTTTTTTTGTTTAAAATTCAAATAAACCATGACATATAGCAACTTATTTTCAATATCTTTCTTCCAAGGATGTATTCTTTTTAATAATTCAATGAAGTTTTCTTACGGCTTTACGAGGTCTAATTGCCCATTGACACCTATGTGAAATGCAATTTATATTTTAATGGCTTAAATACGACAGTTTAAAACATTATTTTATAATTAAACAATTATATGTTACCAAGGATATATTTGTTTAATTTTAAAATCATTAATTAGAAAGATAAATACAAATATATGTACTGTATATAAATCATGTTGTCAAAACACGTCTTTTAAGATTTTTGTGTGCCATATCTTTTGTATTTTTTTGTTGATTTTGTTTGTATGTTTTGTTGAAGACCAATTTATTGTTTTTTTTACAAATAAGTATATTTTATTTTTGTATTTTTTTTTGTAAAACTTTAATATAATAGGATCCCTCTAATTTCAGTACACAAATGAAATTATGAGATGTAACAGTATCTGATTGCTTTTGATTTTAAAATTCTAAACATGACCAACTCATCCTTGAGATTTCTGAAATTGGTCATGTAAAATGCTATTATATTTTTAAAAATAAGAAAAACTTGAAAATGATTAATGAGAAAGATCAACTTAATTATGGTAATTTACATTTTGTAAGGATTTTTCATGATTTATTCAGTCTTTTTCTAAAATATTTACAATTTTTTTTAGAGTCAAAGGATTTTAGTAAAATTTCATTAAAAAATATTGTTTTAACACTTTTGTTTGATGAAATATATTTGTCTACAATAAAGATTGTTTAAACTTTTGTTGCAAATATATCTACATAGGTTTTGCCTGTTGCCCAATCCTTAATTAATTTATAATTAAAAAAAATATGTTTGAAGTAAGCAAATATATCTACGAAGTATGAGAAAAGTATTGGTCGCTGTAACGTAATGTATGAGACATTCAATGAATTACAATTATTCAATGAATCAATCTGTAATTGTGTACCCAAAAAATACTTAATTTTGTGAAATTTATAACCATATGATTTATTAATTTTTAGGCTTTTGTTATTATAATCTAAAAATATTGATTTTTTTTTATTTTTACAATTCCTCATTAATTATTATTCATTATCAAACATCTTTTCTCTTATTTATTTCTTTTATTTATTGACTTCATCACCATTATTTCCTCGAAGTTTTTAAATAAACTTTTTAAAAAAAACCCACATGTTTTATTATATGTTTTATTATATAAATATTTCAATACTAAAGTATTTAATAGATTGAGAAGAAAAAATACATATCGTGGCATTTGACTCGACTTCAGATATATCGACGACGTTTTATCCATGAACAATTGTTAGTTCAATTCATACGTCAACTCGGTATATTCCAGTGAAACTGAAATAAAAGACACTTGTAACAGAGGATGTCATAACTGTTTCATATTTGGATATTTACTAACTAAAGACGATAAAGGCTAACTAATATTCATTACTTTAGAGCATATTCTGAATATTTAGGCTATTCACACAAAAGTTGATGTTACAGAGATTTCAACAACATTGATCAAAGTCAATATTCTTTGTCTCAAAATCTATTATAATGGCCTTATTATCAATATATTGTTTCATATCAGTTTTAAGGCTCCGTCTATTTGATTAATACATATAGGGTGAATTCACCACTCGGACTTGATTCATATCAGTTTAACATTTAGTTTGTGATTAAAATATCAATTTGGGACACAATTATATGCCCTTTATTTAGAAAATATCCTCAAAAATCGAGTTTTTAGGAATAACTCAAAATTCACCATGAGGACATTGTTTACCATGCATCGGAATATTTTGACTGGATAAATATCATACCTTTATTAAAGTGCTTTAAAATCCTTGATATGGATATATTTTTATCATATAAGTTTAAATCTAAGACGATATCGTTGCACAAATGTAGAACGATGAGACCTACTCTGCCTTAAAAATGCTTTAAAATGCTTATAATGCGGTAATTCGCGCCTTTTTTCATGGTTTATCATACTCTGGTTTGTAGAAATAAATTGAGTCTTCCACTCCTCCTAACCTGTATTTTGAGTGAAAATATAGAGTTTTTATTTTCCTTTTCCGCAAAAAACAGCTATCAGCTGGGTTCTGTAAAAATGGTAGTGCCCTTTGCATCGGAAAGTCTGCATGGTTAATTTGTGTCCGATGTACGGAGAAATGAACATACTAGTGAAAACCAGCTTTTAAAAGAATTATACGAACATTGAAGTGAAATTTCTTTAAAATTTATGTAAAATTATCAATCTTTGACTTTATTCACCAAAGTCTATTGTTTAAGTGAATTTTAAGAACGATAACTCTAAAAATCGCAAAATCTTAAGCCTTCTGATAAAATATGACGTAACTTCAAGGCCATTCCTTATAAAAATATAAAAAAAATTTAAAATTTTACATAATTGAAAGAGGGTTTATTGTCTAAAGTTGTCCGATGCAATTTTTTTTAAAAAGAAATTAAAATATGCACCTATAAAATCCCCAAGTATCTCTGTTTGTGCCCTACTCACAGATTTGAAAATTTGTTTATAATTAGGACCTATTTTAATTTTGATATTTTTTGTTTTTTTAAAGAAATCAAAATGCTATAACAGTTTGCAGAACAAAAATTTGTATTAAATTATTATTATTATTATTTTTTTTTTTTTTGCCATATTTAGGTAACGAGAAGATTTAAAATTCATTTAAACAAACTTAATCCCTCATTTCAAATTTTTGAATTCGTTAAAACAAATTCAGCAAATTTTTCAGAACAAATTAAATTCATTATAGCGAATTCCATGAAACATATGAAGATAACTAACAGTATTCACGATCGAAATTCCATAAAACAATACAAAACAGGAGCAGAGCAAACCAGGACTTCCAATACATCGGACGTGAATTAGGTGCCATGGAGGAATGAGAGTTCCATGCTGAGCGGTAACACCCGCCGTGTTCTCCTTTTCATGATCGGGAAATAAAGGAGAAACCCGTCGTCAGTTCAATGTATAGATAATGGACTTACAATTAGTATGAAAAAGTCAGTCAGCATATGACACAAGGATAAATTGTATTTGCTGACAAGGTCATTGTATCGACCAAAGAACTTACTTAACGATGACTTTAAACGAGACTGCTGATATTGTTGTTTCACCAACTTGTTTGTCAATAATTTACCTCGTTTTAGAAATTGTTCATACGTAGAGCATGCTCTTGCGTATCGAATCATCTGAGATATATAAACGCCGTATGCTGGTGAAGAAGGTATATTGTTGCATAAGCAAGGGAAGTTAACGATAGAAAAGTTAAAGTCGTCACGTTTATCGTAGAGCTTGGTTGTTAGATGACCATTAATGTCTTTCTTGAGTAAAATATCAAAATACGAAACAGATGTTTCAGATTCTGTGGTGTCTTTTATCTTAAGCTCACCCGGATATATCGTATCAACATAAAAATGGAAATTATCATTGTTACAGTGTAATTGACAATTGTCGATATATCTAAATGTCGAGTTTAAAGCAACAGCAAGTATTTTCTTTTCATGCATAAGATTGTGCACATATTCTGCTTCATGTGAGTACAAAAATAGGTCTGCTAATAACAGGGCGCAATTGGTACCCATGGGAATTCCAATAGATTGTTGGAAGACCTGTCTCCAAAAACAACATAGATATTTTACTGTCAATCAGAAACTCAAACATCTTTTTATGTCAACTTCTGAGTACTTGTGTGTACAATCAGAATATTTTTTAGCAAAATAATTTTGCAAATGACTAATGACAAGGTAAGTAAACTTACGAGTTCCATTTTTTTTTTTGAAAAAGCAGCTGTCAATGATATCAAAAAGCGTTACCGTGGGGAATGGTTGTATATAAAGTTGAAAAGTCATAAGTTTTTAAGCTGTTGATTTTGGTGAAATCTTGTGATTTCAAATTGTCCTAAAGTTCCTTGGAATCTTTAAGTATGCACATCTGATTTACACCACTTCTTGAATATATTCTTGCACAGTACTCTTGAATTTTCTCCTTAACAACTGTTAATATCGTAGTGAGGAGTAAAGAGAGAAACTTGGTTGAACATTTACTGGAACCCACTATGTATTTTTGTTTGTAAAGATTCTTATGAAGTCCAATATATTTATGGTAGTTCAAATTCATTTTGGTTCTTTGGGAATTTAAAAATATTTAAAACTAGGGATGTCAAAATTGTCAATAATTGATATTCGAATATTCGAATATTATATTCTATTCGATAAAATAAATACATCTTGCATTATCAAATTTATATCTTCACTCTCCTGTCAAGTAGTGAAGAGTTTATGGCATTATTTGGAATAAAAACTCATGTGGAGTTCAGTAAGAGCAATTATATTTTTAAAAGAAATATTGAATAGTATACATCCCAAATGTAATAATTGTTAGAAAATTAAAAAGATTCTTTAGTATGTTCCAGATGAATTGATCGTCTTACAAAGTCTACACTGATAACTCCTACAAATTCATACCAAACAGAACAATTATCTAATGGTGAAATATTAAAAGCAATTACTTTTCGCTAATTATGATTTCCTGATAATGATTTTTAATGATATTTACATAAACAAGGGGTCTGTG